GTGGGGCCACCACATAAAAAATTGGAGACGAAAGGGGATGGAGTCATGGGCGCTTTCTGTCCTTTTTGTGGGCATAGCCCTGTAAGCAATCTCCATTCCCATTGATTTCTCCCTTACAGGGATTTAATTCAGTTCAATTCAGTATATTTATGTTATCTCAAGGCACTTTACAGAGACAACTCAACCAGATCATACAATCAGATTTATGGGGTTAAATTCCTGCCAAAAACCATAAGAGTGTGTTAAGCGATCACGATAGTGAGTGAGTGTTAGTGGTACATACATACATAGCTAGTGGTTAGAGCAGTTGCCTTGTGCTCTGAGAAGGTTGCAAGTAACCTGTTCGATCCCCACAGCCACAACCTGCACTCTGGGTCCCTGAGCAAAACCCTTAACCTCACACTGCTCCTCAGGTGCCACACAGTGGCAGCCACTGCTAACCAAAGGATGGGTTAAATGCAGAGATAAATTTCTCCAATGTTAGATCAATATAGTTCAGTTATTATTACCATTTATAGTGCAAATAATAATCACAACTGTGAATTTCATAACCGAAAGATCGCATAGCTGTGATTACGGATGTGTATGATTATTCAAGCACTCTTAATGCAGGACCTTGTGCAGCAATTGAAGCCCCCTCTAACCATCTGTTTGGTCTTGCAAAAAAATTACACTCCCTTGCTCTATTTAGGGGGCATTTCTATCAGTCGGGGGAGCTGCTACACTTGTGGCTATACTAGTTTTTGGCAGGAATTTTACACCATACACATTGGTTCAAAGTTTTCTATCTATGGGAAACCAGCTGATTGCATCCCCTCATTGACTCAACAGGAATCCCTCACACCAAGCATGCCTGTAGCGATAGTGGAGAGGAAAAACTCCTTTTTAACCCGAAGAAACCTCCAGCAGAACCAGGCTAAGTGTGAGCAGCGATCTGCCAAGGCCAACTGGGGTTCAACGAGACAGAAGCAGACACACAGAAAGAAGCAGAGACAAAAGAGGGTAATTGTTAGCCAGCTCCACTCTCGGCCCCAACTGGGAAACACATCCAGGCAGACTAGCTCAGAGCCAGCTCCCATGTCAGAGGAGGAAGAGCGCACAAACAGTTAGTCACAGTCAGAGAAACAGGACTAAACACTGAAAAACAAGGTCAAGCTCCAACATCTACAAACAAAAGGGTTGATAGCAGCAGCATCACTTCCTGCAGAGAAATGTGATCCATCTATATTTGGAACACGCCCTCTGGTCCCTTTTCTTATGGAGAGTTACAAGTTTCTCTCAAATAATAAATTCTTCTACAGAAAAATGTTTTAAAAGAAGAAACCTCAAACCACAGACATGTACTGAGGAATCAATGTTTTATTTCAGTGTTGTGTTGGTGAATAATCGGAGATGGTCAAACATGAAAAGACAATACAGACAGTTATTACAAAGAGAATAAGAGCAGGCAATACCAGTACATAGTTAAGCGAGAGCTGGGTTACAGTCAGGGTTATCATTGTGAAAGTAAACATTCATTTTAATGCTTTCATCAAATGAATGCTTGTTATTGACCGAACTGATCTTGGCATTATATTTCAAGTCGAGATGATAAAACAAATTTCATCATTTCATCCACATTCATAATATACAGACAATAAGGCTGAATATCCAGCAGACAAGGTCTAAATTAGGAAATATTTAGCCCACTTTTTATAACACCATCACTAACGAGAGAAAAAAATAATAATCTCAGCTGATTGTTGGATAAAAAACAAACTTTCACACCTAGCAGCACTTTTGGTTGCTACAATCAGAAAATTCAGCAATAACAGGCTTTTAATAAGTACAAAAAGAGAAAGAATAAACAACATATTCTGCTTAACATGCAACTATTGGAGGGTTTTTAGTAAAACTTTCAATCTGATGCAGCTGGATCGATTAGCATTTAAACAGAAACTGAATGAGTTGTACTTGTATTTAAAAAGCTACTTATTGCAGCTTTGATCCAGTTAGCTGCATTAAATGTTTTATCGTAACCAGCTTAGGCCCTGTTTGCACAATAAGGATTTATTGAAAATAATTATTTTGGCGATTCTTTTAATTTTCTGCATGACGTTTGTAATTGCAATCTGCATGCAAATGGGACTATTCATGTGTAAGGGGTTTAATTCCACCCCCCACCAGTAGTAGGTAGTAAACTCAGTATTCTACAGTATAACTCAGTATTCTATAATAACAAACTGTTATTATGAATTTATTTTGTTTGTTTTTTTTCTTTCTACTCAACAACAGAGATGAGGACATTTTTAAAACATTACACTGTAGAATCCATTCCCAAACTGCTCAGAGAATGTGTGCGCTTTTATCGTGCACAGTAGAACAGTATAACCATAGCTAAACTTATTCACAAAAAAAAACATTGTGTAAATAGGGCCTAAACTGGGCTGGTTTCGATTATGAAGTGTAACAGTAAGTGTTTTTAAACTAGCTAGCTTTTGTGTTGTTTCTCTATAACATGACTTTATATTAGAAATTAAATAAATAAACAGTAAAATAAATAACACCGCATTCCAACCACAAAAGACAAGACAAACACATTTGATCAACACGACTCAATGAAATGTACAGAAAAAAAATACGGGCACTTAAGAATTTCAATGCACATGTTGGAAAAAACACAATCAATCAGTAAGACTGAACGAGTACATGAATGATAACTAATAAATGGAAGTTAGAAGGTAGGGGATAGTTTATCCTAAACACGGGTAGATTTCTAACATAGTGCTTTTGACTTCCTCACACTGAGGACAGTATTTTGTAAACCACTGAAAGATAGGACAAGAGGTGTGGTTAAAATGTATGTGGGCTTAAAGTCGTAGGGAAATGAGCGTTCCAAACATTGCATTTCCAAATTCACCCGAGTGGTGCTCGACTTTACACGAGCGAATAAAGTGAATGTGATTGGTCCTTTGTCAAGGGGGCGGGATTGTTGTGGTGGAAGGTTCGCAAGCAAGTTTGCTTGCATCTCGCTAACCAGTTAGCAACTTAGTGATAGTAGGTTCGCAATGG